ATGAATTCTACTAGATAGAGCATGCAAGATAAATAACTATTTCAACTACTGGGTCATCTTTGTCTTCTCCAACGTCGATCTGAAACAGATACGGTGGTAACAGATTAATAATGAGCAATTAAAATTAATTATATCAACTATTTTTACCTTAATTAACCGTGGATTGTAACATTCTAAAGTTTGTAGGTGTGAAAGTAAACCAAATCCAGGAGGAATACCATCGCAAAGAAGTTGTTGTTTTAGTGGAATTCAAATAAATTTCCTCTTGCTCTCACTGATCTGCCGAAAATTAACTGCATAATGTTGAGAAGTGAAGACAAAAACAGCAAATCAAGAATACAGTCCAAGAAAGATAACACCATTGTAGACATTAATTGCTCGAGTATGTAACCTTAATTCTCTCTCAGTTGTTGAACGACCTGTAGAAATGGACAAAAAAAATAATTATTACGATATTAATTAAAGGGATTAAATAAAATATGAAAAATAATAAAAACATGCACCAAAAAGTAAGTAAAATAGATGAATTACAAAATGGTGATGTCCTGTCAGTATTATTCATGACACAGATAAATATTAAAAGCTATAGCAATAACCATAGACTGACGATCTCAATTAATGTTGTAGACAATAGATAATTGTTAGATTACCATAGACGTATGACGTCAATTTATGTTGTAGAAAATAGGTAACGGTTAAGAGAAACCAATGATGCCACAGATGTGCAACCTTATATACATCAGTGTCAATTGGACTACATCTATTTTATAAAAATTGCACCATTCAACTCCGAGAGGAAGGAGTATTAATAGAGCTCCATTTTTCTAGGTTTTCAATCCATACTTTTTGACTCCATCATTTAAAAGAATTAAATGAGAACCTGTTGAAACAATTCAATGTTAATTTCATCTTAAATATTATGTTTTAAAATATTAATAACTTTCGTCAATCAAATAATACTATCAAATTCGATCAATTGTTACCACTATAAGTCAGAAGAGTAAAAAAATTATAGTAATAATTATTTTCAAACAAATAGAATAAAAGATTTGAAAATTTACAAATCATTTCATAAATGTGACTATAAAATAATTAAGAATTCTTACCCTGTGGTGTGAGTGGTGCTCTGCTTCTCCACGTTTCAAGCCCTTCTGATTTTCCTTCATTACGTTCATTTACTATGCTTTATTGGAAACCTGTTAGAACAACTTAATATTAGTTATATGTTCACTATGTTATCTTATTATTTATGATAATTACCGTTGTTAGCAACTTATGTCCTATGATTTTTTTGACCAGCTCATTAGAAGTATTCTTGGAAATAAAAGTCTGACTGCCATAAATATTACATGTCAGTAGTTTGATCTTCTAATCGAAGTATGTTATATCACAGCAAACCTATATTACAAAAAAAAGTTATTAAAACACAGTCTAGCGAATAACAAGGTAAAAATGAGAATTTATTCTAACAGAAATTAAGAATTGTGAAGGCAGAATAATATTTCTCACAAATATTTTACATATTTTGGCAATAAATGAAAGCAATTCTTCACGACGTAGTCACACCGATATGATAAATCTACAATCATCGCTTAAAAATGTTTTCCAAATTCAAAAATTCTAGCAAGGCCCTAATTAATCGACCTCAAATAAATTAATAATCTAAAAATTCACGGTAGATGAATGGACAGGCAAGATGCCAAGATGAACGAACCCCCATGTTCAAGAACGAAGCTAACACGCCACAGAAGACACTCACGACAAAAATAATCTAAGCAACGGTAATCGAAACCTATCAATCACTAATTGGAAATGTATTCCACACAATAAAACTAAAATCGAATAAGGATTAGGGTCAAATACCTTTAGGCGTCGTCTTCATTTATGGACAGCAAAAATATGTGAGCTGTCGCCTCGAAGAGCCAAGACCGACCGAAGACAAGATGACAGTTGCGATCGCCGGAAGATCTATAGATATTCCTTCTATACTTGATACATAGNGATTGGTTTTAGATAAAATCTTTTGATAAATTCACATGGATGTACTAGCATGTAACAGTAAAAGAAATTTTACTTCAGCATAGTTGACGAACACTCAATCTCTAAGAACTAATGCAATATTTCCAAATAAATTAATTCAAAAAATATTTGTGTGGAATCTTGTTTAACATATGAATGGTGTATTCATGGGTGTACTTAAATAATATTAAAAATCAGTAATCCTTCATACATGCGGAAAAGTGCGCAAATTTCTTAACGTCACTGTTATGTCCCACATTTCTACAATAGATTACATTAGAAGAGGAATTATTAATAATCTTATTAATCATTAGTAATCTTCGATCCTGTTAAGAAATATACGTATACTACGTACAAATATTATATTTTCAACACAAAAATCTAACAAACGAATCCTTCATTTTAAAAACTTATAAAGCCCCTTTATGGAAAGAATTATTATTTTTTTTAAAGTAATTTCATTCATACTCTCCATTACCGCCATTTCGACATTCACTTAAAGGATTTTCGGTTATTAATTCGAAATGGCGAGAAGGAAGAAGCAGAAGTAGTGTCTCATTAATAAAAAATGACCTTTTGGTTTACATTAATTACAAAAATTGAATGTAACAATGTATGTGACACACTTATTGTATATAAAAAATGCGAAAAATATAGTTTTTATAAAATTAAATTGCGTAAAGAAATATGGGCACCTGTAGTTATTTGGCATCGGCCCGTTCTTACTTGTTCTAATTTGACCAGTAATAACTGAGAAGACCGAAAAATAATACAAAATGTAATTCATAATTTAATCACCAAACCAAATAAAGTAAATATAACAGAGAAAAAGAAAATTGTAATATTTTCACCATTACTTAATGACGTTCATCGAGAGAAAATTGCAAAACCTCTCGATTTGGACAAAGTATAATTGATATTTTTGCACAACATTAAATAAAAAAGCCTCATAATTTTGCATTAAGCAAAGCGTCTTCGGTTACCTACGTGAAGTTAAACAGTTATGAGGTTTAAAATTTCACGTCAAATCGGCCAAACTTATGAAGTATTTATTATTTGTATTTAAAAACAAATTTTTCTTCATTTTAAGGAAATACTTTTTCAAATACTTGTAATAATGCTTTTTATCTGTAAACGGTTTATAAACAATTCAACTCAACAGGATAAATTGTTCAGAAAGCTGTTATAATAACTATAATAATGCAAATGTATTTGCCAGTAGAAAATACACATACGTGAATAGAAGCATACTATTTCTCGAGGCAAATACCTAACCGATGACGCGATTATAAAAAAACTTGGTTAAAGAGATTAGAACGAAGGCAAACAGATATCACTTGGAAAGAATGTTATGGTTGTAATTAGCAATGATTTTTAAAAGTGGAGAAATAAAGTGCAGAATTTAGATATTTTCGAAAGAAAACACTGTCACAAATTTCTCAATCTTTGGACAGAAGATTAATAAAAGTTCATTCCTTTGCCTTATCATGAAGCATCTACTGGAATATTACTCATTATTACTTTTTATACTCTTATCTTCCNTATTCTACCCACAAAGGGGATACACATACGTAAATAGAAGCATATTATTTCTGACAAATACCTATCCGATGATGCGATTATAAAAAAACTACGTTAAAGAGATTAGAACGAAGACAAACAGATATCACTTGGAAAGAATAGTATAGTTAGTCGTAAGTTGTAATGATTTTTAAAAATGCAGAAATAAACTGCGGAATTTCTCAATTTTAGGACAGAAGATTAAAAGTTAATTAATCGCTTTGTTCTTATCGTTGTTACAATGTGCTTTTTTTTCTTAATCAATCGCTATTTTTTGGTTATGAAGTATCTATCCCTCCGACTATTACACTTTTATTACAATTTTATATTCTCATCACAATTTTACCAAATAATGCTAACAATTTTTTGTTTTTAACGATGAGCATTTTTCTCTATCGGAAATGTTATAAAATGTTGCAATGTACAGGACAAAAGTTAAAAATGGCCACATTAGACTAATATACAAATCAAAATAAATAACATTAATTTACTTACCAGTGTAAAGTATTGTAAAGTCATAATTATTTTCATGGACTGTTTATGTATCAGGAAAATTTAAATTAGTCTATTAAAATCCAAAAATTCAGTTGCTTACAAATTTCGACTCGCACTGTAAATATTTATATATTTATCTAGACTAGAATACAGCGCACGCATATGATTTGGTCAGAATTTAAAATGTATAGTTTTAATAAATTTTTCATCTTTCTTATAGGCAACCCATTTCACTGCGGAGTATTATGACAGTAGCAGTTCTGAATTCCTTTAATTGTTAAAGACTCGAGTTTAAAATATTAAATATTAATTTTTAAACAGAAAATTTTAGTTTTACTGCTTTATTACATTTTGGCATTGTCAGTTCGTATAATATATAATTAAATTAATTTATCACGAAATAAAAACGACGCATTTAAATTGGTTGTAAAAAGTGCATTTCGATAATTTCCAAATAAAAAATTATTTTTCCTGATGCCCCAAAACAACTTTAATACATTTTGTTACTTTCAGCCGGTTTAATAAGACAAAACTTAAGAAATAAAAACAACGTTTACAAAAAGGGAGATTGAAACCGTACCAGGGTGATTTTCAGTTCTAAATTTCATTGACTGAAGCCTCAACGTTAATACATTTTCATATTTTCAGAGCAATTAATGTGGGATAGATTAATTTATTGAGNAATTCTTTTCAAATTATACATTTTGATACATTCAGTTCTTTTAATAAGGGAGAAAAAGACGTTTTTAAATTGGGGATTTCCCAATATAAAATTAATTTCCCTGGTGAAAAAAAATTTCTTAAGTACTCTTGATAAGGACCCAAGTTAATCAAAACAATTATAAAATTATTATTAAGTTAAACAATCAAACTTTTTTGAAACGTTATAAAGTACTTTTTTCTTATTATTTAGAAAAGGTTTCGCGGGAGGTAACTTGCCAGATACATACATATATTTACTATCATAGATAATTTACTATCGAGAAATATGCATATGATCAGATATGATGTAAAATAGTAGTTGCATTGAAGTTGCATTCTATCGTCTACTCTACACTTCTATTTTTTATTCTATTCTTTTTTAATATTAGTACTGAATAGGTAAGTACTACCGATTTGCTAAAGCTCTCACATTCTGAAGTTGATTGGTTTTAGATAAAATCTTTTGATAAATTCACATGGATGTACTAGCATGTAACAGTAAAAGAAATTTTACTTCAGCATAGTTGACGAACACTGATATATACTGATACGTTCACTTGAAACTGTTAAATTGAACATTTCTTGACATCTGTCAAACTGATCTAAATGTCAAACATATGACAGAATAACAATAGGGAAATTGTTTTAATGCTTTCTCCAAAACAAGAAATTGCCAGTAAAATCATAAAAGTATGAAAATTCGACCTTTAAGAATAAAAAGAGGAGTTCGAAAATGTTAAATGATAGTGACGATGACGACTTTTCTTCCTCTTTTGCATCAAAGTAACAACGATGCGTTTAACCATAAGTCAAAATATTCAAGTAACCGTTTGATTGCTTCTGTTTTAGATCAAATTTAGCTCACCTATTTAGTAATAAAGTTACCAAAGGCCTGGATAGTTCACTGATTTACAACGCTCCAAAACAACCTCGAAAACAAGCAACAGAAACCAGTTCACTTTTGTGTGCTAAAGTTGTTACTATCGTTGAAGGGTAGGTGTACCCTAAGACCTAACATGTAGATTTTAACATTTTTATTTGCTAGTTTAAAAGAAGATTCAACAAATGCTAAATATGGATTGGCTATTGTAGGAAATGAATCATTAAAAACCTACGAGTTGATTTTGTACAGAACTAAACAGAACATTCTATCAAGAACAAAGATATCATCTTCTTTTAATTTCTCCATTCAAGATTACGTCTTTGGTTCATTTAGTGACAGAACACGTCAATGGGTTGTAAAATTTAAAGATAGGAACGATGTTTCTGATTTTTGTGACAAACTTAATAATACAGGAGCTGGAATTATAAGAACAAACACGGAAGCTCACAGAGCTATATCAAGTAATGAGCCTGTGCAACGTCAAAGTCCAGATATACAGAAAGGCCCTATTTTAAAAATAGAAACAGAAAAAGATAGATATGAGGAGAATGACTTTACAACAAATATTTCTAGCAAAATTAGAGAGTTTAGTAGTGGTATCTCTAAAATTGGAGTCCCAGTCCTTCCTCGAGCATCACCTGCCATTCCTTGTACAGATATTAATAGCAAGCAATTTAATGATAGTCAACTAATTTCAAAAAGTTCTGATGACATTGTACAAATTGAAGATACAAAAATTTCATCTGCAAATAACTTAAATATACAACTAAATGTATCAGAACCTCCTCAGAATCAATTTGTTCAAAATGTACATTTTTCAAATTCCCAAATATTATCCGTGCCAGATCCGATAAATTTATTAGCAGCAGAAACAAGGATTGCAAACTGTGAAACAAAATTAAGTTTAGCTCAGATTCAGTCTAAACTTGACCAACTTTTACAATCTGCAAATAATTTGCCTGAGCCACAATCAAAAGTATTACAGTCAAAAAATAAAGCCCTACAGTTGAAGATAGATAACTTAGAGGCAGAAATAGGAAAACTAAAAACAGAAAATGTCAAATTACATTGTAACTACAATGAAAGCGGTGCAAACCCTCAGTTTATTGAAACATTAGAAATTGAAAACCAAGAGTTAAAAAACAAAATTTTAAATTATGAAGTTGATGTACTAAATGCTAAGAAAGAAATAGAACTTTGTCATGAAGAAAGATCTAATACATCTCGGCTAATAGAACAAAATCAAAACTTGCTAGAGGACAATGTGAAACTACAAAATAAAATAAAGGAATATGAAGGACAATTAAAAGAACTGAATAAATTAAGACATACAACTATTGAACTGAAGGAAAGTATTGAAATAAAAGAACAACAGTTGCTGGAATGCAAACATGAACTGGAATGTTTTAATCCTGAGGGAGATAGAGTTAACAAAATGGAAAAAATGAAAATTCTCGAAAGAGAAATAAAAGATATTATGAATGATATGTACCAAACAATTATCAGTTCTGGTAACAGTGTAAAATATCCAATAAGTGAGGAATTTAAACTTATTTTAGTGAAACTTGTTAAAAACAGTACTTTTAAAATTATAGAGGAGATACAAAAGAAATTTGCATAAGCAGCTGTGATATTTTCTAAATACATATACGAATTTTCATTGTAATAAAGTTTCTTATAACTACAATTGTTATTAACTAATTATTAAATGTGATACCTGATACAGTCTTGTAAAAATATAAAAGGATATTTTGAACAGATTTTTAGTTCCCTTTTAGAAACCAAAAAGTAAAACTGCCAATTTCAAATCGTAATAAAACTGGGAAAACATCTTCACTTTTTTTACTTGGCGCATTTCTTACCTCGATTCAATTTTTTCAGTTTTACGATTGTGAACCGAAAAAAAATTAAAATATTTTTAACAAAAATTTAATTTCAACTGTCCTTTTTTAGCATATTTAAAGAAATTTAGTACCCGGGAAATTTCAGAAAAAAACTAGGGAATAAAAAATCCACCTGACAACATTAGATATTAGGAATAGAAAAGGTTAAAGATGAGAAGGTATTAGAAAAAGTAGTGAGGAGAGGTAGGATGGGATGTCCACCTTATGAAGGGTAAGCTAGAGAAATACTAGAAGCAGAAACAACAGTAAAGAGGGGAAGAGAAAGATTTAAATTAGATTACTGTTTCCTTGTAGCAGGGATGTGAGATGTCGTAATTTTGGGGAAATACGAAGATTGGCTCAGGATAGGAAAGACGATAAAAATTTAAATCTCTATAGGGTCAAAGTTGAAAATATTTTTTTGTTAAATAGAAAACAAGATGACAGTTTTCTTCGTAATTAGGGTACTAAAATTTATCACAAGTTGACTTTTTCCAATGGTTAATACATTTTCACTTTATATATTATTGGGCTACTTTAATATATTCAGACTTTGTAATCAACGAAATCATGAACTAAGTATACTAGCGAAAATTATTACTTACATGTTCGAAATCCTGCAATCTCGCCTCGTCAAGCGCGTTCCTGAATTAATCAGCTGATTAAAAATTAAGCCGGTGTTCTATTTCGAAAATAGGTCAGGTGGTAAGGACGTCAGGGAGGACAGTTTTGTTACAATTTTAAATTTTTCTAACGGCGTTTCACGGATCCTAAAAATTTATTTTATTTATTGAAGTGAACGCCAGTCAAGTATCTAATCTAATAAAATACTTTTAAAATACATGCAACATTCAGCAAACTTTAATTTATAAAGTACATAAACTTAGTAGGTACCTGGTAAAATAATTAAACAAAAAAAAGTTAAAAGTTTATTTTAATATAAAAATGTAGAACATCGTAATCAAAATATCCCCAACGTAGAAAAGACATCGATATAAACTATATATCCATATGCATATGTGTACAAGTGTACGCTTATAAGTATGTTAAGCCAGCTAATTAACTGTTAATTCAAAACATAGTAACAAGTAATTATTAGTTTCAAACTTTATTAGCAGGAATGTGTAAATACTAAAAAAATATTGATAGTGTGGAACCGAAAAGGAAAATTTCGCATTGTCGATTTCTTATAAACTTAACTTATACAGCAAAACAACTATTTTCAATAAGAAGAAATTTTCTAAATAAGCAAGGCATGCATTTCAAGCAAGAATATACCAAGTATGACAACATATTCGCATCTCTTCCCCTGATACCTATGAACAGGATTTTTCAAGCAACTTAAAGGGGTGAAGGGTTTTATTTATCAATAATCAACAACGACGTTTCGATTTTGGTGTAAATCTTCCTGAGGGATATACAAAAATGCACAATGTAAGCCGTTACTTGAAGTAAATTATTATTATTATTATTATTATTAATTACTATTAACTGTATTTATGTAAGCTTGGGGGATCTACAGTTTTTTTTTGCACCTTTCACTTTTTCTGCAACTCTAAGTTATCATACTTCAAGTGACCTTATAATCCAGTAAGTACCTACACTTATTGCCCTTCAAGTAACGAGATAGCATAGGGGCATTTTTGTATATTATTGTAGCCCTGAGGAAGTTTTACACCAAAAGCGAAACGTCGGTATCGATTATTAATAAATGAAACACTTCTCACTCCTCTAAGTTGCTTGAATAGTCCTATACCAACTATGTGCAATAAGTACTTAATTAATAATTGTAAAAATGTATAAACATCCTCATAAGAGTAAAATGTGCTTCTTCAAAACTTAAACAAGGCATTTAATTAATAATCTTAAATTAGTAGCTTAAACAATTAACATTTCGTCATCCTTACTTTTGGGGGTTGGTGCATGCTATTATTACGGGTACATAATAATGCATGATTTCAACACACCTAGAAAAAGGGTAGTGACCTAATTAATTTACAATTAATAAAGATACTAATTTTGTGTTAATCCTATGGAATTTGTGATATTATATTCAAAAAAGCACCCTTCACCTATGATGATTCTTATAAGCTGAAATGGTCCGAGAGGCGAGAGCAAAAGTGGTTAACGATTCAAATTTGAGTGCTCTTCATTAATGGGTTTTTCAGTAAAGGGCTCCTCCTCCCAAAATAGCACACGAGATTCAGGTACTTTAGCATTGCAAAAATTACCGGCCATTCAAATTACGCATTTTTTTGTCAGCATTTTTAATTATTATGTCGCATAATTTGGTGAGCATACGGACTATATATACAGAAGGAGCGAATATAAAGATAGAAGACGAAAAATTAGAAGAAGCGGCTGCTTTTCGATATCTAGGAAGTTAGACAAGTCAAGATAGAAGAAGTAGTAGAAATATGCAAAACAGAGAATAGCGCCTTCGACAAAACTTCTACGGTCGCGAACAGTTAATGTAGAAAGAAAAATAATGTTAAAGGTGTATGTTTGGAGCACGGCGCTGTACGGGTGCGAAATATTGACAGTGACAGCGTTCGAAATGTGGTGTTACAGGCGAATGATGAGGATACCATGGATAGAGAAGGTTAGAAATGAAGAGGTATTAGAAAGAATAGGAGAACAGAGGATTCTATGAAAGTCAATAAGAGATATGTTGGTAGGACACCTTCTTAGGCATAAAGGGCTAGTCAGAGAAATATTAGAGGCAGAAACAGGAGTTAAGAGGAGTAGAGGTAGACCTAGATTAGATTACTGTTCACAAAATGTGGGATGTTCTCGTTTAAGAGACATGCGAAGATTAACTCAGGATAGGAATGAGTTCTTAAAACTGACGACCTTATGATGATACGACTATATTTTTTGCTGCTTCTCTCTTAAACTAAAAGAAATGTTGAAATATTTTGAACACAGCCATCTCACCCAAAGTTGAGTGGCTTTATTTTGCTCTCGCCACCGGGATAGAACAGGGGCAGGATGGGAGGAATACGAATGCATGACTATGTACAAATTTTTATTGAAAAACCAAATACTTAACAAAAAATAAAGATTCTCTAAAAATGTTAAATTTTTCATAACAAAAGCAATCAACATTAAAAAAAAAAAAGGAACGATAATCACAAAAAAAACATAGGTCGATTTCTGCCCTTTGTTAACCTGTAAAACAATTAAATATTGACGCCTTTGAACCACATAGCACACTATAGTGCATTCAAGAAATAACAGAGAGTAATAAATAAATGATATTCTACCAATAAAAAGAAGTCACTTCTATGCTCGCGAATGGTTAATTTAGAAACTCGAACAAGGTTGTTAAAGGTGTATGTTTGGAATGCGGCGCTGTACGGGTGTGAAATATGGACAGTGGGCGCGACAGAAAAAGAAAAGGTTAGAAGCTTTTTATTATTATTTTAAACTCAATAGCGGCTCCACACAATATGGCCGATACCTGCCATTATGACTTGAATAGAAACAAATGGACAAATTATAGAAGAAAAATTAGGCTAAATGGGCCAAAAGATCATTGCTTTACTTCTCAACAAGAGAGACAGAATTTAACTTGTTCAAAAATATAAACGTATACAAGTTCATCCTTGGTAAATAAATTAAATTGAAAACTCAGTATGACATCGATGCAGGACAGATGAAATATTGGCTTGTAAAAGAAACCATGCAAGACAATTATGAAGTACAAATGACTTAAAGGCGGATGTGCAGTTTATGACACCATCTTAGAAGACGGTTCCACAAAATGGCAAACATTGACAGTAGATACTACTAACATTATTTTTTGACGGATATGCTTAGAATCATATAACCTATTACGGTATGAAAAAACAACTCTCACTACGTTTGTATTGTAATCAAAAAGATTAAAGATAGGAGTAGAAACTATACGTGGTTTGCTTACATTGGTTAATTATGGCGCGAGTTGTAAGAACGTCACTAAGTTGTGGTACGCTGCGCAGTAAGGCAGTGCGCATCCGAAGTGACGCGTTTAAACAAAGAATTTTTTTGTACATTTTATACAGCAAAAGCTCTATAATTAGTATGAAATCATAGGGAATACGTTCTAAGGTTCTAAAATAAAATCAATGTATTCATAAATTTGCAATTAAAATTAATCGTTACAATCAGCTTTAGACAAGAGTTTAAAAAATTTAGTGATTTTTCTTGTTCCAGTCGGTTACATCTCTTATAAAAGTCGCCTCGGCATGAGCCAATAGTACTCAAAAAATGTAGATACGTTGAAAAATAACACCGAATTCTTGTTACTCGGTTACATTTTTTTATAAAAGCTGCTTCGGCACGAACCAACTGTACTTACTGTACATACTCAAAAGATGCCGATACATTAAGGGGATTCAGAGGTACACGCGCCGTAGAGTAAAAACACGCTTATCGGTTCTAGATATCATGAGTTCAATGTTTGGAACAAAGGTCTGAAATTTTGTAGTAAGATGGATAAAGCTTTGTTCTAAAGCCTGTCGAAGGCCATTTTTTAATTTTTTAATTTCTATTGAAAATACGTATCCTACAAGAAGCATCAACTTTAAGCACTTGTAAAAGTTTTTAATGACCATATTATTGAAAACCAACAACGTACCGAGTTAGTGTGAACCTTTGTCTATTACCATATAAAAAATTAGATGTTTATCTTGCAGCGTTAAATCACAATGTTTAGAACAGAAACCCATGTCTTCGAAAAAATTCACACTAGGCACGAGCGGTCTATTGCGGTCAATCACCCCCTTAATAAATGACACCGAATCCTTTTCTATTTATCGATTGCAACAGCGAAATAATGAAATTTTTAATCGCGAATATAGGAACTGGGTAGCAACTTTTTCACCGCGAATAAGGAAACCGCGAATAAGGAACTTTTACTGTATTTACAGTGTGTTCGTGTTCATCACGCAGCGGACAGTTGCGTTTTCTATTCTTTGTAAAACTTTTTGCACTTATTCGCTTCGGGGATAAGCAGTTAATACTTCTACCTCTAATCTTATTGATTCCTTCCTTTTGTTTGATGGTCAGTATGGCAGTATTGCCTGCTCTACTGTATTATCTCTACAATTCTTACGCGTTTTGGCCTTTTAGGTTAGGCTATACTGACTGGATTGCAATACGTAAAGCTAACTTCAAGGAAGGTGCCCTAAACTGCACTTTACTGATTTATTAAAAAGAATTATGATACAACACATGATACTGCATGAAACAAACACATCATTACCCTTCCGGCACGAATTCATACAAAAATAAAATAAATTTTGAAAAGCTTACCGTTTTATTCGGTGTCGCTGCCAGAAGTGTTAAACAAATTGGCGTCTTCGTTGGAAGAGTTGACCTCGTACTGCGGAAGGTATATGAAGGTACGAGGTTCACTACGTTCATCGCCTCGTACTAATTCTACCTTAACCTTCACCGGAGAGTCTATGTTGACATCTACATACCGTGGTGTCCTAAATTAAATTTAATAATGGAAAAAAAAATTGTATTTACTTGTAGATAATTTATAAAATACAAAAACATTTTACAAATTACAGTCAGCAAGGTCACTTCGTAAGTCCTTTAATTGGGACGGTCGGAATTGGCATAGTCCGTAATAAAAATGTCGCATTTAGTTTTTTCTTTCAATTTACTACCTAGATCTGCAGCGATTGCTGACAGAACTATGACAGACGTAGCGGATATAGTAAACATAGGAAAGAGATGTCAGGTAGAATTTGCAGCGGACACTAATAAAGAAAAAGGAATAAGATTACACCAATTGTTGTGTAACAGAAAGAGAAGCAGACAAGTAGAATGTTGCCAGCATCGGACTTTAAAGAAAGTTCAACATTCTCAGGAAGTTAGGATAGCAAGGACCAGGTGCGCAACAACGTTATAGTTTGACTGGGTGCTCCCATCATAATATTATAAATATTGATGTACTGCGGGTGTGTATTAGCTGAAAAGATCGAGTTCGGCTGCTCTTTTACGAGCCTGAACTATTTGAACCAAACTTTCAAGTTGGGTTATTATATGAATCGACTGGAATTGACTGGATGCCCAACCCAATTGAGTGGGTGCCCGGGCACCCGTTGTTGAGCCCCTGATTCTCACAGACTTATTTATTGTAGACTTTGCCAATTTTGATCGTTCCAACTATAGTCCAATCAATAACGAGTGAAGTCTACCATTTACTACACATCCCGTTCAAACGTTTGCCACACCAATGGGGTAACGACCCATTTTGGGGCTCGGTCAAAAATGATAGAATGATTGATTCCCGTACACAGGTGAACAACTAGTCTAGTATATGTCCCTTCCCCTCTCGATTCCACACGACCCACCCTTTCCCAATCTGGGTCTGCTTTTGCGCTTATACATTTTTTTATTTATGCTTTTTTAATGGTCTTAAAAGTCCAAAATTGATATTAACAAAGTATCATGAAATCGAGTAAATGGCCATCTGGATAGAATGGAAGTTAAAAAATACGTATTTGTTAAAAAAAAAAATGAGGTATACTTCGTTTAGTTTCTGTAGCGATGTGACCTTCAGTTTGACCGGCGCAAAGTAGAAAAGAACAGCACTAGGCCAGAAAAGAAACTCTCGGTCAAACTCTTAACCGGTCAGGAGCGTATAATCCGTACAGTATTGCTCGAAAAAATTGGCCATTTTATCCACTAAAATTACATTGCTCAAATGTGCTGTTATTGGTACCATTTACTACTGAAAATATCAACGAGATGTTTATTTATATTTGAAGACATATTAAAGGCTTTAACGCTTGTTTTCGACTCGCACTACTATTCGTGATTGAATAAAACTTTTGGCACATACTGTATGAAAAAGTATGTTTAATGAACAAAAGTCGAGAGTATTTCTCCCTACCTACGATTTTGCCAGCGCGCATCCAAGATATTGGAAGGGGCACATCGCTAGAGAAAGTAAATGAAGTATATGTACCTACAAAACTAATGAAAAAGTTGACAGTTTTGTTATTTTGTTTCTGTGGGTCTTCAATAAACGTACCAGAAAATGAGTGACCGTTCCCCACGTCCCCCTTCGTTAAGCCGTTGCCCCAGAAATTGCTTTATGCCCTGTAAACGCTCACATGGTAATATCTCTAAAAGGAACTGAGTTTAAGCATTAATTTCAACGTGTTTCACTGATTTTTTTTGGACTCTATTCCAGCCGTGTTAGTTTAAGCCAGCACAAGGTGGTACCTACTACTCCTTCGTAGTGATGTCTGATGTAAACAATGAAGACTATTATTTTCCAAAATTTCGCGTGATATAATTAACATTTTGACACTAGAGTGTGCTAAGTATCGTTGGGGAGGATAAAAAGGGGGAAAATACAGTACGTCATAAGAGGGAGAAGGGTCAAAAATCTTCTTAATCGGGAAGTCCTAAATAAAAAAAAAAATGCCTAGTTTTACTGTTCTTTTAATTAAAAGTTTCTATAATACTAATCGAGTTTTTAATTACCCCATTTTTCCCTAACCTCAGCCCTAAGCTTAATTTCTTTTAGACAATTTGGACTTTTCATATGAACCAGCAAATTGTTTTCCAATATAAGAAGCAATAAAATTATATATACGGATTTATCCATTATTTATTTGTATGTTGCTTATTATACCTTATGGATTGAAATATCAAACAACCTATTTACAATTACTAACGTTAAGTAAAAATTCAGACAACCACTTTGCGAAATCTTAATTGCTTTTATTTAATCCGCTGCATTAAAATAAGCAACGTCGTTATCCTTTAACGATAAGCTGAAGTGTTTCCGGTGATATCACGCACATTGACATTTATCATTTCAATGTTTTAAATAAAAAAGAAAACATGAAATTAAAATAAATTTTCTATGAAAATTTAATTTCAAAAATATTCAAAGACCACGTTGTTTTATGGATGAAGGCGCCGTAGGGGGTTAAAAAGAGCCTAAAATAGTGCCATATGATTTATGGAAAGCCCTTGAAAAGCATAAATCACATTTTGACTCAAATTTGGATATATTAAAGTGAAATAATTTTTACCATTACAGAAAACTTTAAATTAATAAGGAAAAAATGTTGCTGCTGTTACGTTCTCGCCGGGAATAGAACTCCGGTCTCCAGCTTTAGGCACCATTGCTGTACTACTAAGCTACGAAAGGTGACCGCGACAACACGACGTTACGTGCGTACCTACGTATGTCACAGTATCAGTCGAACCAATGTATACTCGGGATCGATTCTCGGCGAGAAATTTTTTTTCATTAATTAGAGATTTTCTATCGGGATCCGTCAAATGGGCATACACCATCTGGTGACAAAATTTATAACTCGAATGAGGGAAAAATTTACATAGGAACTGTACACGCAAATTGTAAAATTGTTTATTAAAATAATAAAACACGTTAAAAAAGTAAAAATTTTTTTGATGATGGAGTCGACGAAGTTTTCTTCTAAAGTTAAATCAAATAAAAAGTTAATATGTTCAGTGAAAAGCTGCAATAGCACTTCAGACATAGATCTTCACTCTTCACCTACATTAACTACTTTCCAATAAAAACTAACCGTTTTATATATGTAAAAAATATATTCGGAAAATTAGAGAAAAAAGTAAACTAATAGAACCTTGGATGAAAGCAGTACGTATCAAAGAAGTGAATTCCGGAATAAAAATTTGTTCACGTCATTTTATGATTATCATGATTATATTTCAGCAAGTATTTACCATCAGCCATAACCTGAATATTTAAAACTAGAATCATACTAAAATTATAAAGTGAGAAATTAGTTATTCCTGTGTAATTGATTTAACATAATTCTAATGATACGATATAAGTATTTTGAGGTTAAGAACCTACCTGCTGCAATACAACAAAGTTGCAATAATGTGTTTGCAACGTTCTCTTAAATCGGCTTTACACGTGCAAGTGATTGATACGATATTGCTTAAATCACCCAGAATCAACTCACCAATTATATAACGTGAATCACCTTTTAAATCCAAAATTTGTAAAAAGTAGGCAGTAAACTTGACGGAATTTGAAGGCTAGCTTCCGGATTTGTTATTTCCGAATTTTATAATGTGATTGGCATTAAAAACACGCTCACCTTCAACGAAATTTCCTTTCCGAGGCTTTGTGTCAGCCCAATCACATATTGTGTCAATACTTATAATTTTATCGTAATTTAAAAACTTGGAAATTGCACGGTACACTATAGGAACTACGATAAATTTTCTCTAATCGGCGCCATGTTTTTAGGCTCCTCCTATTCGACGGGTCCCAATAGTGGTTTAAATTATATCAAAAATTAGTTCACTTTAATGCAATCTACAGAAACGAAAAAGGATAAAACCAGCAAATGCAGTTACAGAACATAATATTATGAAATGTACACAAATATCGAGAAGAATACGTTTATTTTTCAAAATTTGAAGTGAAATGGTTTAAAACTGAGATTTGTTAAAAATTCCCATCAAGTAGAACCCGGTGTCATATAAATGGGGTTTTGTTAGTCTTTAAAAGTCTACTAAATATCTTGAATGTTTATTTACTCACCTTAACACTATGGCAAACTGACGATGTATATCGGTAACATCAAAAATACCGAAGTCCTCCCAGGTTTCGTTAAAGAAACGGACCTTCACTTCTGAAACGTGATCACAAAAAAATGTCGCAAAATATGCTACGTACTCTGTTTAAACGAGATTAAAACAATCACTTGAAAATTTTTAGTTTTAGGAGTATCACACCCATGTCAAAAAACAAAAAAAAAAATGGATCATTTCGTTTGAATTGACGAAGCAATGACACGCATCCAGCAGAACTGGGAATGCTACAGCTTCGAAATTATTTTTATCAAATAGAACTTTTATAGACAATCGAATCGATATCTCTTTACATTTCCTATGAAAATTATTTAAAATCAAGTATGGATCAAAATACGCTCAGCGGATTGACATTAATTTCAATAGAAAATGAGGTGGCAACTTCATTAAATTATAATAATTTAATTTCTACTTTTGCAGAAATTAAAGCTAGAAAATCTATTTGTTCTTTTTATTGATATTTATATTGTTTAATTCTGAATTGTACGACACGTTTTGTTGTTTGGGAATATTAGAAACATTTGCATAAATGAAGATTAAAAAAAATTTTTTTTTGATATCTACATATACACGACAGCCAATATTTTTAAAGTCGACTATTTAGCAGTTTGCCCGGAACGGCCTTAACTCTAGAAACGGCCCTGGTTATAGTAAAAAAACAATAAATTTACTGTTTCTTTTAAGGATGTTTGGGAGGTACAATCGGAGACAAGAGTACATAAAATTAGAAATTCGTAATTAATTAGGTTTTGCAGCATGAGATAAATAAATACTATCTATAC